TTTATAATATAATATTAATGTGATTTTAATATGATTTCTTTTAATATAATTTATAAATTATACACATTTTAGTCTCCCTACCCTTTTATAATATTATGTATTAATTTTAATATATAATTTGTATTTATTTAGTTTAAATTATAATTTGTATATAATTTTAATATATAATTTGTATTTATTTAGCTTCTGAAAGTGAATGAATAAGTGTAATTTTTGATCTCACATCGGTAATAAGTGAAGAATTGAAAGGTGGAGAGATGGGTTTAAAAGGAGAAGGTGGGGGAAGGGAGAAGGTACTTACCTGGACCGCTGGACGGGGTCAATGGGTGGTCAAGATGACCCATGGCCTAGGTTGGCAACCTCCATTGCACTTTGAAGGGGCTCCAGTCTAAGGTCGGCCCAAGAGGTCGAACCTAAGTTATAATTTAGGCATGTTCGTTTATGTTCGAGTTCGAGCTTAATTCAAGTTCTAGTTCGAGCTTGATTCGAGCTCGAGTTCGAGCTTGATTCGAGCTCGAGTTCGAGCTCGAGTTCGAGCTTGATTCGAGCTCGAGTTCGAGCTTGAATCGAGCTCGAGTTCGAGTTTGATTCGAGTTCGAGCTTGAATCGAGTTCGAGTTGAGCTTCGATTCTCACTTCTCGCAAGTTTTCGAGTCGAGTTCGAGCTTCGAGATTAGGTTTCGAGTTCGAGTCGAGTATAATGATACTCGAGCTCGACTCGCATCATTTACACCCCTAAATAGACTAAGGTGGTGTTTGTTTTTTAAAAAAAGCTCTTATTTTACCACTTATGTTTGATTCGGTCAGACATAAGGTAATTCAAACCGTTTTTTTTTTCAAGAGCCACTTATCACTTATTTTCCTCTTAAAAATTAAGTGATAACCTAGCCACTTATTTTCCTCTTAATCCTGAAGACTCTCTAGAGAACCGATTTCTACTTCATCATTTGATCGACTTCACCTTCTTAATCGATCGACTTCACCGTCCTCACAGTCTCAATCGATCGACTTCACCCTCCATCGCCTCTGGTGGCTTCAGATCGACCCAAATCAGATCCAAATCAAGAGGGTTTTCTTCCCTGTGGGTTTTCGTCACTGTGGGTTTTTGTTCTTGTGCAAACCAGTAGTTGTGCACCTTTATCCTCATGAATCAAGGTATTTTCATTCCTGTAGTTTTCGTCATTGTAGTTTTCATCATGATGGATTTCGGCGTTGGATTTTAGAGGTGGATTTCGGCGTTGGATTTTAGAGAAGGAGTGGTGGTGGACGGTGGTTGATGGTGGTGGGATGAGGGTGGGGAAGGAAGAATTAAAGAAATCTTGGAAACATAAACAGAAGTGAAATCAGAAATTATACATATTCATATGTTTTGTTGGTTACAAAAGCAAACTATTGATTCAGATTTCAGACTTTTGTCGGTTTACAAAAACAAACCGTCTGACTGATTCAGATTTCAGGCTTCAGCACCACCTCTTAAAAATCAGAAGTAAAATCAGATTTCGGACTTCTGACTTCAGTACTTCTTAAAAAACAATCGCCACCTAACCTAAGGATGATTTTGTATAACATATCTTTATATTTGTTTCTTATAGTCAAATGGTGTCATCGTTTACAAAAAAAAAAATCTGTTATCTGTATGTGTCCCTGCAACTACAACTGAAAAAGTGGTGGTGTATGGAGAATGTTAAATGGGAATCTGTAATAGATGATGGAATGGGAATGGAATTACTTGCAAAGATGAAACAAACCACAAAGGAGGTTAATTAACAACACACTCCTTCCATTACCTTTCTAAGGTATCAAACCATCCATGACACTTATTTACCCCCCACCCCAAACTCTCTTTTTCCATTCCAACACCATGGCTGACCCAAGATCCTCCTTTCGATTCCGCATGCCGCGCTTGAGGCCCTCCGTCCCACCGCCTCGCGCCACCACAAGAAGACTATCAACTCAACCAAAACCACCAGCAGCGCCACCCTCGCCACCAATTCCACCTCAGGGCGTACCATCAACTGCACCTCCACCACCAGTATCAACTACAACTACAACTACACCTGCACCACCAGTATCAACTACAACTACAACTACACCTGCACCACCAGTATCAACTACAACTACAACTACACCTGCACCACCACCACCACCACCACCACCAATCGCAGCTGCAGCTGCAGCTGCACCATCACCACCACCACAAGATGAACCAAGATCAATGCCACCACCACTGCCACAAGCTGCACCACTTTCTCCGGATGTTTCATCTTTCACCAAACCTGCAACTGCCAAATCTCCAGAACCCACAAAAACCGAGTCACAACCCTCTTCACCATTTCAAACAGGCATTCGATCACGACTTCCTTCACAGACACCATCTCCATCTCGTATGTCCACTGAACCCCGTGTCTCTGCCAAGCCACCATCGCCATCCACCAGACTACAACCCACCGCTCAACCTTCATTTTCGACTAGTGTACAGCCATCTCAACCAACCTCACCACTCGCTTCTCCTTCTCGATTGGCCTCTGAAAAGAAGATTGCCTCTTTGCCACCATCTCCCATTGTAACCACCCCAAAACTGCAACCAAAAAAAGCAACATCTCCTTCATCAAGACCTGTGCCAGATATAGCTTCAGATAACGATCAAAAGGAAGCTGATCTTGCTCTCAGTGCGACATCTGATGCTATAAATGAAATAGAAGAAGGAGAAATGAAGACGACCATGGAAACTAATGAAGAAACATTCATGGAGCAACCAAGAATTGAAGCACCAAAAGTAGAAGAAAAGCAGCACAACGCCATTAACACAACTAGCAACAATATTCCCAACACACCAAAAACCAAATCAATGATTTCGGAACCAGTGAACACTGAATCTCCTCAAAATCCAAAACAAATAAACAGATCAGAAGCTTCCGCGGATGTTAATGAGAACAATACAAGCCCTAGAAAGCAATTTTCGAACGAAAAACCTCTAAGTGTTATTACGCTTGCTGGAGACAACAGAGGGACGTCCATGCGTATAAATGGTGCAACCAAGCGAGAAAGGAAAATCCATATCCACAGGAAGTATAAGGTCGATCCTGATGAAATTGCAGACACGACGACAGATGGAGAAGAAAGCTCCAACTCCAATGGAAAGAAATCAGAAAAGGATTCAGAATCCACTGACAAATTGGAAAAAAATGCATACATTAATTGCAATATTCAAGGAATCAATAACTCGATGGTATTTAATAGCTCCTTTGCTGAGAGGAACCCTGGTGTTCATCTAGATCGTAATCCAGAAAATGTAAACAAATCGAAGAGAAAGAAATCAAAGCCAATGGATATGACGAACCCATCACAGAAGGTTACGACGATCCGAAGGAGATGTCTTAGAGGGCTTTTCATGGAGACAAGTGATTCCGACCCAGATGATCGACAGAAGCCTAGGCGCCATGGTTGTCGGTACACCGGCGGGGAGAAGAGTAACAAGGAGGAGAAGATGGACGTTGTTTGATTTTAAGTTTGTTTTGCAATCAGCATAAAGCATCATGTTACTCCGCCTCTTTTAATCCCACTTTGGAATCTTATTTTTTTCTCGTAACCGTCTATAATATAATATCATGTCAGGCCGGGCCGGGCCGGGCCGGGCCTAATCGATAAAAAGATTTTTCATAATCTGTCATAACCGGTTCCGGTCGAAAATGGTACTATTAGTCAAGGTACTTCATAACCGGTTATGGACTCCCGGTTCCAGTCCCAACATTAAAAAATAATATATTTTTTTAATGTTTTAAATGATATATATTTTTAATACATTATAAAATTTATAATTAGGTCACTCAAATACATTTTAAAAATACGTTTTAATATAATTAAAATTACATTGTCTTGTAATAATACATTATAAAATTACTAGAAGGGTACTAATGCAATGCATCGAAACACATTTCCATTTCAGTATTTTGTTTTGTTTTTTATACATGTCGATATAATACAATTTTATGTGGTTTTGAGAAAGCGATAATGTTTTTATTTTTAAATAAAATATAAATTTGAAAATATCATATAAAATTTGCAAAAAAATATATCAATATTAGTATCAACTTAAAAGTTCTTGTTTGTTTTTTTTTTTTTAATTCAAATTTTTTTTATTATAATTTAATTTAGGTTTAATAATATTTTTTTTATAAAGATAATAATTAAGTATTCTGTTAGAACTCAATAATTATCCTAATTATATTTTAAATTTTTTATATTTTAAAATGAGATGTTTATCCTCTATTTGATTATGTTTATCCGCAGTTAGTTACACGAATTCAAACATAGAGCTTTAATAAATTGTACTTATACACAATTTACTTGTAATCTTGAATTTTAAGTAATATGCATTAATAAACAGTACTTTATGCATAAAAAATGTTTTTAAAAGTTTTTGTCAAATGTTTTATAATATAATATAGATTTGAAAATACATTTATTTATAAATTTTTTTGAATTTTCGGGCTGGTCCATAGCCTGTCCCGATCCCACGAAACTACCAAAAATCCCAACCGGTCCCCGTTTACGGTCCCATAACCGGTCCTTTGTCGGTCCCAGGCTGGGCTGATTTGGCCAGTAGTAATCCCAATTGTATAATGCAAGAGTCCTGATGTACAAGCCCAATACATGTTTTTTGGGCCTAGCCTCAGCCCAAATTATTTGGCATCACTTTTGAATTTTGATGACGGATCTGGTTCTCTAATGTATCTTTTTAATCTGATGAAAGTCAACATTTGACTTGAAGCCGATTTCACCCAATTTCCGTGATTTTACTCCTAACATGTTGCTGAACAATCTCCGACCATATTTAGCAATTCATTTTGACTCAAATTGGTCAAACAATAACATACTTCGTGGCCCATTATATCTAAAACTAATTCGCCAGAAGGTAACAATTGGCCTATTAGCTCAGTTGGTTAGAGCGTCGTGCTAATAACGCGAAGGTCGCAGGTTCGAGACCTGCATGGGCCATTTTTCCCCTTTATAGTTTTTTTTCAATGTTAACCAACAAGACGTATTAATTTTTTGAGTTCGTTTTACGCATTTTTTATCATATGTTAAAATCTTCGAACAAAGGGATTCAGTTTGCCTTCTTGTTGTTCATACTTTCAACATTCTCTTGTATTTTAAATCAAACTTACTTTTAAACGCTCTATTTTTAGAAACATGATGTCTTTATGGAGTTTAAAAAACGTATTAAGTAACCATAAGGGTGATGCATGATTGGTTTGAACTTGAGCTCCAAAGGTTAAAAGTGTCTCAAGTTCCCAGATTAAAATCCAAGGAGGAATAAAAATTCCCTTGTGGCCACAGAAGTTCAAATGCGGTGATTCCGGGCTACCCGCAAAATAGTTGGTCGCTTTACGATTAGTCGGCTCGCATAGCGGGTTGGATATTCATGTTAATAAAAATACGTATTAAATATTTATAAAGTGAACAAACTACGAATGAAGGTTCAAACGAGAACACATTTATTTTTCGAAAAATGTAAAAACATTCTTATCAGATGTGATAATACATATTTGTCACTTACATAGATCATGCTAAAGACCATCTATATTTGTGATTTAGCATAGTACAGCTTTATAAAAAAAAGTTTCTTGAAGAAATTATCATACTTTTTTGTTTATATATCTTATTGTAGGCACTAAAATAAAGTAATAAAAATAGGTTTTCTAAAATAAAGAGTGTTTCTATTTTAGTATTATTTACATTTTAATAATTAAATTAAGAAAAATATTGTGTAATGTCCAATAATTATTACCTCTTCTGAGTTTTGACTCAGTGAACCACATTTTCACGTGCTAGAATTGTTATAAAAAGAAAAGTAAATTGTAGGCTTTGTCAATGATTTGAACGTTGAACGACTTTTTTGTGAGTAGTTTTGATGGGAAATTCGTTTATGGTTGTTTATTTATTTTAATAAATAAATGAATATGTCTATATATTTTTATTGGTTTAGTTAAGTGAATGAATATGAATTTGGTCTCGTTCATTTATTTACGTTTATTAATGTTCATTCTATTACATTCATTAATGTTCGTTTATTTATGTTTGCTTACATTTGTTTATATATTTTTTTATGTAAAAATTATATTGTTTCATGTATTTCTCATTATGATGAATTTGTTTACTAAAATTAATTGAATGAAAATGATAATGTCCATAATTAACGTCCACCATATGATAATCAAGTTATTTAGTTACATTGTTTTGGGTTATTTTGAAAGAAGATGGTAAGTGGAGGGGTTTAATGTGTTAATGTGCTTTAAAATGTTTTATTTCTCACTGCCTCATTATTTTAAATTAGGATTATGAGATAACTGTCTATTATGTCATTGGGATGTGGAAAAAATAAATAAGAAGGATAAGAAAGTTTTTGTGTGTGTTCTCTTGGATGAAAATCAAACAGACCTTGGGTGAAAAAGTAAATAAAAAGAATAAAAAAGCTGATTCTGTGATTTTTTTTATTTGAAATATTGTTGTGTTCATTCATCTTCATCTACATGAAAATAAGGTGAGTTTAAATTATCAATTTTTCTTATTTAGTATTTGAAAATTAAACTATATGATTCTTACATGGGGATGATAATAAAACTGTTTATGGATGCTATTTGAGCATGATGATGAGACTGGGTATAGAACCATACCTTTATATGAGTTATTGTTATGAAACTGTTTTGTTGTCATTATTGGCAAAATGATGGTTTTTGTCATGATTATATCATGTGTCAAAATAAGGGTGACATATCAAGAATCTGGGTAAATTTGAAATAAGGGTGCAAGGATCTGGGTAAATTTGAAATAAGGGTGACATAATCAAGGAGCTAGGTAAATTTGTAATAAGGGTGGCATATCAAGGAATTGGGTAAATTTGAAATAAGGGTAGCATAATCAGGGAGCTGGGTAAATTTGTAATAAGGGTGACATAATCAGGAACAAGGTAAATTTGTAATAAGGGTGGCAATTGGAATGAGGGTGACGTAATCTATTTCTGGAAATGATGATCTTTTTGATCATTGGGTTTTGTTATCACATCCTTATGATGCGATGATCTTGAGTTATCGCATATGTGTGATGCGAGGACTTGGGATGTCGCATCCTATTGATGTGATAAAATGAATTGTTTTATAACCAGATGAGCTCTGGTTGGCCTGGCCTATGGATGGCCTTACTTCTGGTCATTCATTTGAACCTTGAAAAAATATTTCAATCTATGATAAAAGTTACAGAGCGGCTCTGGTTGATCTTCATGTTTAACCAGAGGGTCTCAGGTTCAAGGAAAACCGCAAAAAATTGAAAAATTGAGGAACACGCTGATAACTGTTCATCTACACGGTATACACATATGCATACAAGTAATTTGTAAGCAATTTGTCCGATTTGCACATGTACATAACATGCACACGTGCATAAAAACCAACAACTTCAATTACTTGTATGCAAATGTCATACCGTCAAGATGAATGATTACCAGGGTGTTCCTCAGTTTTTCATATTTTTTGAGGTTTTTCCTTCATATGTAAAATCATTAATTAATTTAAATTTTTAGATTTATTGTGATTAACCTGGATATCCAACCCACTATGCGAGTCGACTAATCCATGGACGACCACCTGCTTTGCGAGTAGCCCGGAGTCATCACATTTGAACCTCCGTTGCCATAAGAGTATTTTTATTCCGCATTGAATTTGAACATGTGACCTCCATACACTTTTGAGCTTTGGAGTCCAAGCTCAAACCAATCCATCACCACCCTTGTGGTTAGAATTATTTTTTATCTCAAAGCACCCGGTTTTTTTATTTGGTTATGTGTAATGGTGGTTGTTTTTTGTTCATTTATGTTCATTCGCTTACGTTTGTTTTGCATCTTAACGAACGAATATAAACAAACATGAACAAACACATTTTCTATACGAATAAACATAAACACAAAAAAATCTATCCATTTATTTAATTAAGTTAAATAAACGAACACGAACAATGTTCATGAGAGTCTCTTAATCATTCTGATCACTTAATCAATATGCACCAAACCATTCAGCAATTGCCAAATAACCCTTAAATATATTTAAATAAAAAATAGAACACTAACCGATACAATAAAATATAGAAGCAAAAACAGATAAAAATTAAACAAACATAAGGAAAACGATGACTAACAAAAAGCTGCACAAAACCATGAGTATCAAAAAAACGAAACAACGACAAGCCACAAGAATCATTATTGTTTGGTGTTAACGACATCACTAAATTTATAGTTTGGTGTTTTGAATGTTTTCATTCTTTGACGGTAAATTATAAAATCCATTTGCAGACCATTACTCGATTTTGCACGGTAAATTTGTTAGTTAATAATTACAAGATCCGTTTCTAAAAGGGCAAAGAAGTACGAGACATTCGTCAATTGTGTTAACAGTGTTAAGCAAACTCCTCTAAATGAAAAGTACATTCGTAATTCAACACTTATAACAA